GCTCCTGGGAGACACCGACCAGAGCACATGGCTGCAGCGAAGAGGGTGTTGCGCTACTTGTGCAGCACGTCGGGCATGGGGCTAGTGCTTGGAGGGCGCAGTCCAGTGGTCCTCACTGGGCACGCGGACGCTTCTTGGGCTGACGACCAGGCTACGCTGCGGTCGTCACACGGTTACACCTTCAGCCTTGGTTCCGGCTCTGTTTCGTGGCGGGCTACCCGCTCGTCTTCTGTTCTCGGCTCTAGTTGTGAGGCTGAGATCTACGCGGGGGCTATGGCTGCCCAGGAGCTTCGCTGGCTCACCTACCTGCTGACCGACCTTGGAGAGCCGCCGCGTTCTCCTCCAGTCCTGTTCGTAGACAACAAGGCCATGCTGGCCTTGTGTTGAGAGCAGCGACTGGAGCACAGGACAAAGCACATTGCTCTCCGCTACTTTCTTGCTCGTGAGCTGCAGCAGCATGGACAGTTGCGACTTGCGTACGTGGCCTCTGAGGCCAACACTGCTGATGTCTTCACCAAGGCACTTGCGCCTTGTGTTCATCAGCGTTGCTGCACGCAGCTGGGTCTTGTGCCTGTCTTGCCTCACTTGCTCACTTCTTGACCTTGCTTGTACCTTCACCTATATATACTCTTGCCCTTGCTTGCTTGACTGTTGTATATCTCTGTATATGATCTTGCATATGAACTGGCCTTCTGGCCTTTGAACTTGTGCTCGGAATGTGTGGTGACTTTGTGATCCACCCTGAGCTTTGCTTTGCTTTGCTTGACTGGTCTTGTGACCCCTTGTTCTCCCCCACTTTGCCTATGGGGGTGTGTCAGAACATTATAGCTTACTTATTTGTGTAGGCTATAGTGGGGTATCTCATAGGGGGTACAACCCAATTAGGGTTTCCTATTTGTACTCACTTCGTTCATAGTCATTTCATTCTCATTCACTTCTTCTCACTAGGCACAGTTCCCACGAGGGAACCTGCTCTGATACCATGAGGAAATAAGAACGAGAATGAGAATGACTAAGTGAAAGTTGAGTACAAATACAAACCCTAGAAAACTGTACCCCATATGTGCTACCCTACTATAGCCTACAATAGCTATGTCATATATATCTGACATCCCTCCCGGGAAGCTGCTCTCGCGTACTGCATCAGCGCATATGTGGACTCCGCCAATTGTACTGCTGCAAGGAATGACGTCGAACGGCCCCTGCGAACCTCGTACTGTATCTCGTATTTGAGGCCGCGGATGTATTTATCCCGCTGTTCAGCTTCCGACATGTCATCGACTTGGTCGGCGAGGCTCATAAATGACGCCGTGTAGTCTTGGACAGAAGCCATCTGCGACCATGCACGCAGCTTCATGCGAGCTTGCTCCGAGGCGGATACGTGCTCGAAGCGACCTCGTAAGGCTGCGCCCCACTCCTTCCACGTGCGTATCGTGGTCACTCCGAAGATCGATGTTGCCACTTGATTAGTCACTGTTGAGGTCCCGTCTGCCGCATGTGTCACACCTGTCGGCGTCCCTGTTTCCAAGGTTCGGCGCCACCACTCAAGCGCTGCACCTCGAAGAAGCGAAACTGCATAATTAATACGCATGGCATCGTCATTAACTCCGGTTGCAGTAAAAAAGACTTCGACTCCGAACAACCACCCTTTTACCGTAACCGTCTTGTCCGTAGGATTAAACGGGGGTGGGTTGACGGGCTTGATCTTGATCGTTGTCACTGCAACTGGTGCTGCTGCCGCTCGTTGCCTATCCTCCTCTTCGAAGTCACGTGTGAGCGCATCCAGTGGATTGCTCATCGCCCGACTGTTGCCCTCGCCTTCGTCCACAGGCTACTCCTGACACGCTTCACCTCACGTTTGGCTTAGCTCGGCGTTTTCCTCTCGCAGCGTTGTCACTTCCGCCATTAACGTCTTCATGCTCTCCTGCATTTCTGCCACTTGCGCCATCATCTTGTTGACCGCCTCCTGATCCATATGCCTAACGCTACGTCTGGTGGGCAATCGGGTCTCCGTGGCCTTCAGGCAAATGAAAACACGAGCTATCGGAGTCGTGGAGGATTGAATTAACAATCCATGCAGCCAACCGTCGTGTAGTCACTAAACCAGCCACACCCTATGCCACCAAACTACCCTCGGAAAAGCGGGGTGAACCAGGAAAATAGCTCTGATACCAGGTGTTATGAGTTGTAAAAGAGAGTGCGCAGGTAAACGAATAACGAGGCTGTGACTAAATCAACTGCGAATACAATGGAAGCACTAACTAATGTAGGACTACTCTAGCTAGGAGGAAACCTAGGTCGAGCGAGGTTGGGTGCAGGTTTGGCGATGGAAACGCCGAAGGCGACGCGAGGAGCCTCGGCAGCGTTGAAATCGGCCGAACGTGCGAACTCCGAAAATCGGGTTGTACGCGAAGCAGTCAACCCCGATAAGGAATTCGGGAAAATTCCTAGACTCTTTGTGGGTCCGAGTCAAGGGTGGCGTGTGTTTCGTAGCCCAGGTGTGGGTGGAAGTCAGCCACACCTCCGCTGACGCTTTGCTGCTCATGGCTAGCAAGGGACACACCACACCACACCACGTTACCACCGACCAATCACAACGTGGTGGAACCTCGATCAGAATTGCGAACCTGTTCCCGAAAGTAACATCTTCCCCTTCCCCTCGTTACAGTCAACAGCTCATGAGGACCATCTCTGGGATTACCGATGGCGCAATCTCTTGCAAGCGAAACGCGTTCCTATTCTGCCACCCAGCCTGCCCGTACCGCTTTGTGTGAACTGTCTGATCAGCCGCGAGACCTTGCTGAAGGTGTGACCGCAGCAAACTCCGAGCCTCCACTACAGCCTCACCAAGCCGCTTTTCCACCCTCGTGGGATGACTGCTTGCGCAAACCTGTCACCTCAGGGCTCAAAACAAGCAGTTCGACAAAGTCTGCTGCGCGTCCTAAGTTCCGAGCCAAGATGGTTACCATTTCCCTAAACCTTTGCCCTGCGTCCCGAGCAGCCCGCATTCCGTGTCGCCCCAACGGTTTGGAGGAACTGTGGCGTAACCATGGATGCCCGTGCGGGCAGCCCAACGAAAAGCAGCAGGCAGTGTGTGCGGGTGTGGCCCAGCTTGACTCTGCCTGCCTGCCCCAGTAAAAAACTCGTGTCATGGAGCCCATGAAACCCCGCAATCCGCCAAACGCGCATAGACCAGTGGTGGAACAGCAGCAGTTGGTCAGAAACACGGACGGATGGACCGGATGAAACAGGCTCGAGCCCATGGTCTGCGGAGCTCGTGTTTTAATCTGATGTCCTTTTGCCTGGGGTGGCGGCTGGTTCTAGACTTCAGGTTAGGCCCTAGAACCAGCTTTACTGGATTGCAGTATAAGCGATGCGATAGGCTGAAGAAGGCTCCGTCAGCTAGTGAATGACGTGGAACGATAGCAAGTGGGTTTGCTTCCTCCCTCACCAGCTGCTGCAATTAGTAAGAACTGGTGACGTCACAGCCTTAGGGTTACAGACAGCAGCGTCCAGTCAGGGATGTGACGATCTAGTGAATTACTAGTTAGATACCACGAGGTTTCTCTGGACTTAGTTCCATGGTTCAAGTCGTAGATGCTGACGAATACATGTGTCGATAGCACCTGTTTTTGTTGGTCAACTGAGAGACTCATGGGATGATAAGTTAGGGTTACGAGCATTTCAATGACAAAACTTCCAGCCATGACTTCTGACTATCTAAGAGGGAAATTCATTTTAGCACTATTGTTCCACGAGAGACGTCCGAAGACATTCGTACTTAGTTCATTTCTTATTCTTCTATTACTGCCCACCCTCTTACCGGGCGGAGAATCATTCTCCTTCCACATCTCGCACCATACTCGTCGATCGACCTCTGTAAAATACGTCCGAGCCTCGTCCCGAGCCTCGTCCCAATCTTCGACACGACCGTTGCAATCCTCCTGGGCGGAGTGGCCGCGACACGACAATGACACCAGATGGCCTCCGCCGGTCGTATCCGTTTTGCATTTCTCAGGCGCCGTTGCTCTCGAGTCCAATTTAACGGATCAGATGTCGCCACGTGGACTGTCAGAGATGCAGTCGCGGCTTCATGGAAGCATCCGCACGGACGGGTGCGTTCTTATCGGATGTCACACTGCGATACGCCTGAATTCTATTAGAGTACTTGCAGAGTGAGAATGCTTTAGGATGCAGTTAATCGTGGGTTTGCTCGATGATTTCCTTCTCTTATGCGAAACCCTACCGTTGCAACACCGTTGCTTTCATTCTCCTTCGGTTGCTTCATTTATCTCACCAGCACCTGTGTCTCTCTCGTTACATTCCCCTCCCTTGTATAGCACCTCCCTGCGTGATATTTTTCCTATCTGAAGTCTCTCCCCTTCTCCCCCCCATCACCCCACGTTCCCCCCCTCCTCCAACTCCTCCTCCTCCAAACCCCCCCTCCCTTCCACCGTGCTTCTAGCTTTTCCCCGCCCTCCCGATCTCTCCCCACTACCCGCTCCCCCCCCCCCCCCTCCCGCCTCCTTTCCCGTGCGCAGTTATTACTCCGTGGACGTGTGGTCCAGGTCACTTTTCTTACTCACCTCAAAAACCATTCCCCCTCCTCCGTCATCCCACCCCCCTCCTCCCCCCCACCCCTCCCCCTTTTCCGCGAGCAGCTATTACTCGGTAGACGTGTGGATCGGGTCGCCGCCGCGCAAGTTTTCGCTGATGGTGGATACCGGTAGCGCGCTCACCATCGTGCCCTGCTCCTCCTGCTCGCCGTGCGGCGCTCATATGGTAAGACGATCGGGTTATCACGTAACACATGCATCTCTAATTCTCTCTGATGGTGGACACGGGAAGCGCGCTCACCATCGTGCCCTGCTCCTCCTGCTCGCCGTGCGGCGCTCACATGGTACGGCGATCGATCGGGTTACCACGTAACATGTGCGTGTCGTCGTGTCTTTGTCTTGCAAGTTTTCTCTCATGGCGGAATCAGTGCAGCCATTGCACGGATGACCGGTGAGACATAATTCCAAGTGGTGACTTGCGCTGATTCTGTTTTCTGATTCCACTCCCCCCTCCCCCTATCCGCCGTCCGCCTTCTGCAGAACCCCCCCTATTCCCCCTCCGCCTCCTCCTCCTACCTCCCCGTGACCTGTCGCGGGGGGGCCTGCGCGGGGAACCGCTGCGACCGCCAGCAGCGCTGCGCGTACTCGCGGAGATACGCGGAGGAGAGCACCAGCGACGGCTTTCTCTCCTCCGACCTCGTCTCCTTCTCCCCCCCGCCTCCCCCTCCCGCGCCCGCCGCTTCCGCCGCCGTTGTTCCCAAGGAGGAGCGCGCTTCCGCACGCAAAGACTTTCGGCCTTCCGCTTCCTCCTCCTTTTCGTTTTTCTCCTGGTGGTGGTGGCCGTTTTCCCCTTCCCCTTCCGCCGTCGTTTCCACTTCTTCCGCCTCTTCCTCGTCGTCTTCCCCTTCCTCCTCCGCCCCCGCGGAAGCTTCCTCCGCTTCCCCCTCCACTTCCTCCTCGACTTCCGCGCAAGCCCAGTCTTCAGCCCCGGGCCCCGTTCCGCCCCTTCCGCGCGTCCTGTTCGGGTGCGCGGAGGCGGAAACGGGCGCGCTTTCCCGCCAAGCGGCGGACGGCGTGCTAGGGCTCGGGCGGGGGGCGTACAGCCTGCTGGCGCAACTAGTGAGCGCGCGCGCAGTCGCCGCGGAGGTCTTCTCCATCTGCTACGGCGGAGGGGGAGGCGCTGCGGAATCCGCGGAACTGGCAAAAGGCGCGGGGAACGGGGGGAGTGGCTGGGGATTGTGGCGGCGGAAGGGGGGGATGGGGAGTGGAGGAGGGAAAGTCGGGGGAGGGGCGAGAGAGCAGGGGGAAATGGGGAGGTTGGGGGGGGAGCGGGGGGCGATGATCATGGGGCCTGTGGGGCTGCGCGCGCCTGCGGTGATGCAATACACGGCGTTCGACCGCATGCGCGTGTGAGTAGCATTTAGCGTATGTGAGTGGTGATTAGTGCATGCGAGGGGGTGTTTTCTCCGGTTGAGCGGGTGCTTACGCATGTGAGGGGGTGATTTGCGCGCGCCTGCGATGATGCAGTACACGGGCTTCGACCGCGCATGTGAGGAGGCGCAGCTTGTGCGCATGTGAGGGGGTGTTTGCGCGCATTTGAGTGGGTGATTTGTGCGCATGTGAGTGGGTGTTTGCGCGCATTTGGGTGGGTGTTTGCGCGCATTTGGGTGGGTTGATTTGCACGCATGTGAGGGGGTGATTTGCGCGCATGTGAGGGGTTGATTTGCGCGCATGTGAGGGGTGATTTGCGCGCATGTGAGGGGGTGATTTGCGCGCATGTGAGGGGGTGATTTGCGCGCATGTGAGGGGGTGATTTGCGCGCATGTGAGGGGGTGATTTGCGCGCATGTGAGGGGGTGATTTGCGCGCATGTGAGGGGGTGATTTGCGCGCATGTGAGGGGGTGATTTGCGCGCGCCTGCGGTGGTGCAGTACACGGGCTTCGACCGCGCATGTGAGGGGGTGATTTGTGTGCATGCGAATGGGTGTTTGCGCGCATTTGAGTGGGTGTTTGCGCGTTTGAGCGGGTGTTTTGTGCGTTTATGAGTGAATGCCTGCGGTGATGCAGTAGTGATGCAGTGCAGTACACGGGCTTCGACCGCATGCGCATGTGAGCGGCTTTTGGGACGTCTCAAAAGTCGTTTGTGAGTGAATGCCTGCGGTGATGCAGTAGTGATGCAATAGTGATGCAGTGCATTACACGTGCTTCGACCGCGCATGCGCTTGTGAGCGGGCGGGCGCAGTTGATTTGTGCTGTGCGCATGTGAGGTAACCTGCGCGAGCTAGTGGGTGATTTGCGCACCAGTCAATGGCGGTTTTGATCGCCTCCCCCTCCCTCTCCATTTCCCCGCTCCCACTCCCTCTCCCAGGGTCACGCCGCTCTATCAGGACAACCTCTCATCCCCCCTGTTCCCGCCCCCTTCCTCTCACACTTTCTCTCTCTCCCCCTCCCTCTCCCCCTCCTCTCCCTCTCCCTCTCCCTCTCCACCCCCAGCGGCACGCCCTTCTATCAGGTGGTGGTGAGTCAAATTCTTATCGGGGGAGAACCGCTCCCAGTGGAGGACGCCCCGCTGCTCTTCTCCTCGGGCTATGGCGTCGTCGTTGACAGCGGCACCTCCTTCTCCTACCTACCCGCGCCGCTCTTTGAGGCGTTCAAGCACAGCGTCATGGCGCGCGTGGCGAGGGGAGTCAAGATGCTGACGGACACAGAGCCGCAGTACCAGAGCATGTGCTTCCGGTCCACCTCCTGGACTGCTCTGTGAGTGCGGCCTCTGCTGCTGCTGCTTTGTGGGTAACTTCTCTTTTGCCACTAGTGGCCCATGGTCTAAAGATGCTGACGGACACAGAGCCGCAGTACCAGAGCATGTGCTTCCGGTCCACCACCTGGACTTCTCTGTGTGCGCACAGATGGGCTGTGTTTGAGTTCTGCTGCTGCTGCTCCTGCTGTCCGTTCTGCTGCTGCTGTTGTCCTAAGCTCCTGCTACCTCCCTCACCCCCCCTCTGCTGCCCCTTATGCATTGCACCACACGTACCCCTCGTCTCCCTGCAGGCAAGCCTCCACGCTGGCGTCCTTCTTCCCGTCAGTGGAGCTGGTATTTGGGGAAGGCGCCATCTACCGCCTGGACCCCGAGAACTTCCTCTTCCAGCACCGCAAGCGCAGCGGCGTGTTCTGCATCGGGGTGTTCCCCAACCCCGACCAGGGGACCATTCTTGGCGGTGAGTGGCTGCACTGGTACTACTCACACCTACCCACTCTTCCATTCCACCACCGCAAGCGCAGTGGCGTGCTCTGCATCGGGGTATTCCCCAACTCGGGCCAGGGCACCATCGTCGGCGGTGAGTGGCGTGACTTAGTTGCTTTGAGTGACTTGATCTCACACATGGGTTGCACCCTCCTCTTCCCGCACCGCAAGCGGAGATTCAGTGGGTCAATTTGTCAGTGCCTTGCCCATCCTCTCCCCTCTCTTTGCCCTCACCGACCCACCCGTCCAGGTCTCATGTTCCGTAACACCATGTTGACCTTTGACCGGGTCAACGATCGCCTGGGCTTCTGGAAGACCCCCTGCGACCAGCTCATGACCCACATTGTGTCGCCTGGCGCGCCTGGTTCGGAACCAGGTCCGGAGCCAGGTTTTGGTGCAGGTTCGGAATCTGGGTCTGGATTAGAGGAGGAATTAGGCTCGGATATACGGCCTGCAGCAAGGACAATGAATCCGTTAGGGAGGGGCAGGGATCCTCGGGACCCGTACACAGAGGAGCAGGCTCGGTCAGGCGGAGGTTCGGCAGCAGGCTTGGGTGCAGGCACAGGTGGACCCAAACCTGACGAGGGCACCCACCCAAGCAGCATGACCACACAGGATGCCACTACAAGGGGTGTGCCTGCAAGGGATGTGACTGTAAGAGGCGACAGCAGCAGCAGCAGTGCGAGCAGCAGAAGCAAGCGGGCGCCGGATGCAGGGCCAGCAGGCAGCGACGACGACATGGCGATGGTGTGGGCTGTGGCGGACGCCATGCCGTCGTACCGCCCGGTGGACTCCACGGGGTGTGCGGGGTGCGCCAGCCACGTGGACATGGAGCTGCGGTTTCCGTTGCTCTCGTCCGCACAGCTGGACGCGCTGGAGGGGCAGCTGACTGATGAGCTGATCCGAGAATTATTGCTGGAGCCGGGACAGGTGAGGGCACAGGGGGGCAAGGGCAGGTATGGGCAGGGGGGAGCAAGGGGTGGAAAGGAATGGGCTGGTGAAGGGCAGGTGAGATGGTGTGGGCTGTAGCGGATGCCATGCCGTCGTACCGCCCGGTGGACTCCACGGGGTGTGCGGGGTGCGCCAGCCACGTTGACATGGAGCTGCGGTTCCCCCTGCTCTCGTCCGGCTCAGGAACAAGCTGATCTGAGTGCTCATGTGCGAGCCAAACGTCCTCCTCCCCACCGACCCCCCAACAACCTCCTTCCACCCCCGGTTCTACCCCCCCCCTCGGTTCTGCCCCCGTCCCCACTCGAGCAGGTGGTGATTCAGAGTGTGTGGGGCACGAGTCCCAGCGGGGCAGCAGCAGAGGTGTGGCTGGTGCCGTATGCGGGCACCACCTTCCTGCCTGCCATCACCGTGCAGCGCGTCAACTCCACCATCAGCCAGCACGCCATGCACCTCTCGCCTGCGTTTGGGCCCTACAATCTCAGCTCATTCAACGCGCCGCCTCCGGACTTCTCTGGGTGGGTGTTGGGGTGATGTCAATGTGACGTGAACGTGGGTGCTTGCTGCTTCTCATGCCATTCGCCAGCACGCCATGCACCTCTCGCCTGCGTTTGGCCCTTACAACCTCAGCTCATTCAATGCGCCGCCTCCTGACTTCTCCGGGTGGGTGTCAATGTCAAGTGATGTGAAGGGGATGTCAAGGTGGGTGCTTCCTGCTTCTGGTCGTGCCATCCGCAATCCACCATCCGCCACCACGCATGCACCTCTCGCCCGCGTTCGGGCCCTACAACCTCAGCTCATTTAACGCGCTGCTGCCTGACTTCTCCGGGTGGGTGTCAGGGTGGGTGTCAGGGTGGGTGTCAGGGTGGGTGTCAGGGGGTGGATGTCTAGCTGATGTGAGGGTCATGTGAAGGGGTGCTTCCTGCTTTTCAATCCATCCCCCACGCTGCCATGCACCTGTCACCCGCGTTTGGGCCCTACAACCTCAGCTCATTCAACGCTTAGTGGGAATATACGCTTATAGCGTATATACGCGTATCGTATATACGCTAACGTATATACGCTAAACGCTTAAGGGTCGATTTGGTAATACGCTTTTTCGGGCAGGTAAAAACTATCTCGGGCAGGGTGAAAAAGACGTCGTGCTCAAGATTAAGAAGGTGATCCCTATTCTCATTAATACTTTCGTAGCATTTCCCTAAGTCTGAACGGCGATTGGGGTGGGACGTGGAGTAGACACTAAAAGGAGTAGGTAGGAATCGGAAGGAGCTCTGCTGTTAGAAAGTGGGAATGCCAACTAGAAAAGACGACTGGAATTTTGCTGGCTGGTAAGTAGCGTGAGTGGGGTTTGGTGGGGCACGTTTTTGACAGGTTGGAATTCGTAGATAATATGGGTTCCAATGCGGTACCAATCTAATGTTCAAATTTGAACTGCCTGCAACTTCGAAGGCCCACTCCCGCTTCCCTATACCGTCAAATTGCATTTCGACTTCGGCGAAATGCTCAGCAGAAGATTCCGCATCTTTCTGTACACAAGCGATTTTTTTCCCTGGGCAGCCCGAAAATTTTTCTGATAGCGTATAGCGTATTAGCTAGCGTATTGCGTTTTGCGTACACATGCTAGCGTGTATACGCTATACGCTTTAGGGTTTGAGCGTATATTCCCACTAAGATTCAACGCGCCGCCTCCTGACTTCTCCGGGTGGGTGCGAAGGTGATGTGAAGCTGATGCCATGCCATGATGAGTGCTTGCTGCTTCTCGTGCCATCTGCCACCATGCCATGCACCCCCCCCCTTCCCCCTCTTCTCGCCTCAGTCACCCCTCGTTCGTATTCCCTTCCCACTCGCCTCTTCCCACCCTCATCCATCCTCCATTCCCCCCCTTCCCGCTCCCCCCTCCAGCAGCGTGGCTCAATCCCATTCCAAGCCGCAGCTGCGGTGGCTGTGGTTCCTCGTGGCAATCCCCCTCTTCCTCCTCTGCATCGCTGCTGCCGTCTGGTTCCGAGTGGGGCGAAAGGAGGGGGAAACTGAGGCTGGGAGGAAGAGATTTGTGACGGTGGGAAGGCGATTGCAGCAGGAGGCAATGGAGAGTGAGAGAAGTGAGAGGATGGAGAGGCATGATAGAATAGAGCGGTTTGAGCGGCATAATAAGATGATAGCGCTGACTGCCCAAGGGTCGGGCTCATCGCCGAAGCAGGTTCCTGGGTTTGGGTTGATGAGCGGGAGTGTACATTGACTACTGATTATGTGCCGACGATTTATACGCTTTGTTGTAAAGGAATGATGGTACAACAAGTGCAATTCTGGGCAATGGCCCTATGTTGTGCACGCTCGCAAAAATGTTTGGAATAATGGGTGTGTGTATTAGTGTACTGTCTGGGCTCTGGGCAAAGTCCAGTTGTAGACATCAGTTATTCTGTTTTTACTGTGAGTAAATGTAACTGTAGTTCTGAGTATATTCTTCATGAAGCCAGCAACAGCAAGGAGCGCCATAAGTCATTTTTAGTAAACATGGCGATCGGTAAGTATTCCATTCCATGATACATAAACTAGTACTCAGGCTCTTTCAACAACCATCTTTCAGACAGATGGACCGAAAATGTTTTAATGACTAACAACAGACTCACATTCTCCTACCTACAACCCCTGTCCCACCGTCAATAGTCTCGAATACGGAGGAGAGAAATGACAAACACATAAGCAAGCTTCGCCTCATCTGTAACATCGCACGGTTGCCATTCCCTCAACACGTCCCTTGAAACACAATGACAGTGCTCCTTCAACACATCTCTCCCGATCCTTCGATGCGTCCATCTCATGCCTGCCACACATCCGATCCGCAAGAAGTGCTTCGATTTGAAGCTGTTGACAGGTGGTCCTTCCACAGCCGTGTCAGGCATCATATCTGCCAGCGTGTCAAGTGTTCTTTTCCAGCTGGGCGAGGGCAGGTGTGAGGTAGTTGTTGGCTCGATCAGGTAAATGTGCCACCTGTTAGAGGGAGATAGAGTGTGATGGAGATGGTATGGGAGAGACACCGAGACAGGGAGGAAAGTGAGCAGTTGTAAGAGGAATAAGCTTTTTTTTTAACACAAACAACAATGCAGAAGAAACAGAAGTGCAGGAATTGAAGCAATGGAGTGAGATCAGGTGTGTTGCACTCACCAGTTCATATAGACCCGCATTGTCTGTATACTCATAGCAGATCTGCAGAGAAGAGCAAATCAGCACACATGAACAGATAAGACTAATCCATGATAGCCCAGTTTAGTGCAAACAAGCACAGAGGAATTAGAGAACAGGAGGGTTTCTATGCAGAGAAACAGAGAGTGAATATTGAATAACAACCCATATGAACAGCACAGAAGCAATCAGTGCAGAGAATGGTGAGCATGGTTACCACATTCACATGGTTACCGCATTCACATGGTTACTGCATTCACATGGTTACTGCACTCACATGGTTACTGCATTCACATGGTTATCACATTCACATGGTCATCACATTCACATGGTCACCACATTCACATGGTCACCACATTCACATGGTTACCACATTCACTCACATCGAAGCTCTTGTTACGGGCTGTCGGGTCATGAAGAGACTTCACACACACGTCTGCCACGTCAGCACAGCTGATACCCTGATGTGTGAGTGTGTGTGTGTGTGTGAGAGAGAGAGAGAGAGTGTGTGTGTGTGTTTGGGGGACGATGGGAGGGGGCAAAGAGGGGTGATGGGGTTTCACAGGTAAGGCAGGGATGGGGGTTGGAAGAAGACCATCATGTCTCACAGTTGTGCGCACAGATGCGCACAGATGCGCACAGATGCGCACAGATGCGCACACCACACCCTCCCACCCACTCCTTCCCCCACACAAACCCAAGCTCACCTGCTTGATTTGATTCTGTTTTCCTGGTCGAACACCAGAGCCTTCCTCCCCATTGCGCCTCTCGTTTCACAAACACACCACACCCCACCACCACACACCCATCCCATGCACCCACACACCCACTCCCCCACACCCAAACCCACACCCACGCTCTGCCCACATCCTCACCTGCGTGATTCTGTTTCCCTGGTCCAACACCAGCGCCTTCCTCCCAGGTGACTTTTGAGTCGACTCTTGAGTGACTTTTGAGTCGACTAAAAAATCCTCACCTGCGTGATTCTGTTCCCCTGGTCGAACACCAGCGCCTTCCTCCCTCCCGGCTCCTCCAGCAGCGGCCCTGGGCTGAGCGCACAACACAATGGTGTATCCCCCGCCAACACCCCACCTCACGCGTCCACTCGCTACACCCATGAACAATCACACCACACACACCCACCTGCGTGATTCTGTTCCCCTGGTCGAACACCAGAGCCTTCCTCCCCCCCGGCTCCTCCAGCAGCGGCCCTGGGCGCACAATGGTGTAGCCCAGCCCGCTGTTGCGCAGATGCGTCTCTGCTGCCTGCAATGCACACAAATAGAGGAGAGATAGCGGAGCAAGTCAGAGACGGAAGGCAAATAGAGGGGGTTCTGGGCGCACTATGGTGTAGCCCAGCCCGCTGTTGCGCAGATGCGTCTCTGCTGCCTGCGCGTGGCAAGGAAAATGCAGTAGGAAGGGAAAATAATCTGTGATTCCAGCACCATTCATTTGGCCCAGCTCTCCCCCCATAAGTGTGAGGCCCTGGGCGCACTATGGTGTATCCCAGCCCGCTGTTGCGCAGATACGTCTCTGCTGCCTGCACGTTTTAGGGGGGGTAAAGACAAAGAAGGGGGGGGGTCCCTAACCCAGCTCGCTCAACAGAGGCCCTGGTTGCTTGAAAGGCCTTGGGCGCGCACTGGCAGATGTTGCGCAGTGACTTTTGAGTCGACTCAAAAGCCCTATGTTGCGCAGATGGGTCTCTGCTTCCTGTATGGCATGTGGCGGGGTCAAATAGGGAGGTCAGCATGCAGATGGGTCTGACTGCTAGATCAACAGAAGCCCTGACTGCTTGAGAAGAGGCCCTGGGTTGCGCGCACTGGCTGGGGTAACCCAGCCGACTGCTCGAGCTGGCATGGATTGCAGAGAACTCACCATCTTGGCTTCTGCGACTCTCTCCCGACTCTCCTCCAGCACTCCTGCTTGTTACTAGTGCGCAAGTGATGCAGAGTGATGCAGAGTGATGCAGAGTGATGCAGAGTGATGCAGAGTGATGCAGAGTGATGCAGAGTGATGCAGAGTGTGCATAACTGCACTGCCAGCAGCACTCGTGCCATCAGCACAGGCGGAAAGCACTCAACATCTTGGCCTTGACAACTGTCTCTCTCCTCTCCTCCGGCACTCCTGCTTGTTACTAGTGTGCAAGTGATGCACAGGGGGAAAGCACAGGGGGAAAGCACAGGGGGAAAGCACTCACCATCTTGGCCTTGACAACGGTCTCTCTCCTCTCCTCCGGCACTCCTGCTCCTGAACATGACACCAACACAAAGTCCGTCTCCTCTCCTCCCTGCGCTCCCACATCCATGCATCCACACACACACACACACACACACACACAGAAGGGATATGCAGATACAGGGACAGAGACAGAGACAACGAGTGGAGGGGAGGAAACGAATGTTGCAACGAGTTAATCTCCCAAGCAAGACACCAACACAAAGTCCGTCTGCTCTCCCTTTCCCTCACCTTCCTCCCCACCTTCCTCCCCCCCTTCCTTTTTCCCAACCCTCTGGAAAGGCCTTGACGAATTGCAGATCGAGATTGAAGCTGTTTGGACTTTTGAGGCGTCTTAAAAGTCGTATTGCAGGTCGAGATTGAAGCTGTTTGGGCTAGCGGGTGCGGCAGCTTGAGTTGACGCTAGCACATCAGAACCCACCTCCCCCCTCACCCTCTCCCCTCCCCCTTCCCCTTTAGTATCTGTCCCCCCTCCTCCACACACTCACAGGGAAGCCCTTGACGTATTGCAGAGCGAGCTTGAAGCTGTCCGGGCTAACAGACGCAGCAGCTTGAGTTGACACTAGCACATCAGAACCCAACCCCCTCAATTCACACCACCTCCCTCCCCTTCCCCGTCCCCCACGCCCTTCATTATCTTTCCTTCCCTTACACAGACACTCACAGGAAAGGCCTTGACGTATTGCAGAGCGAGCTTGAAGCTGTTTGGGTCGGCAGGGGCGGCGGCGTTGTCCCCTTCTGCGCCGGCCTTGGATGCCGCCCGGCCCGGTGGCAGGGGCGCTGCCACGGATGGTTTCTGGTGAAGTTGAAGGGAGAAAGGAGAGAAGAGAGCGGTGAAGAGGGGTAGAGTGGGGTGAAGAGAGGGAGAGTGGGGTGAAGAGAGGGAGAGCTTGGTGAAGAGTGGTAGAATCTGGCAGTTAAAGGATACCTTGTGATTTGTCAAACCCCTTATGCACTTCAACGCTTGTTAATCCCGTTCTATTCCTCAAGGCTCATCTACCCTCTCCATTGAGTGTAATTCACCATGCAAGGTTGCTTGTATCGCAGGGCAAGTGAGGGGCAAGTGAGGAGATGAGACTGTAATCAATAGATCTGCAACATCATTTCTAGCCCTCAATGTCTGAGAACCCCATTCCCCCGTCTGTGACTCACCGTGCATCGCTGCTCAACTTTTGAGTCGACTCAACTTTTGACTTTTGAGTCGACTCAACTTTTGACTTTTGAGTCGACTCAAAAGTCAATGTCTGAGAACCCCATTCCCCTGTCTGTGACTCGCCGTGCGTCGCTGCTCGTATCGCAGAGCGAGGGAAGAGATGAGGGTGGGACCAAGCGGTTTGATACCCCATTCCTGATTTGTTAACCGCGTTTCACGTCCCAAGGTCTGTAATCCCCATTCTACTGAATGTAACTCACTGCGCGACGCCACTCGTAGCGCAGAGCGAGGGAGGAGATGAGAGCGGGATCAAGCAGTTTGGTTACTCCATTCTACCCCCCAAGAAATGTTAGCACCGTTCCACAACATCATGCAGCTTACCGCGCGACGCTGCTCGTATCGCAGAGCGAGGGAAGAGATGAGAGTGGGATCAAGCGGCGGGTCAGACGGGGATGATGCGCGGAAGGCAGAGAAGGGGACGCGGATCTGAGGAAAAACAGGGAGGGGGGGAGATGGGGGGAAGGTGGGGGAGGGGGGTGCGCGGGGGTGTGGGAGGGTGGAGCGGGGTTAGAGGGTGGGAAGGCGTGGGTTGGACGGGGATGATGGGCGGAAGGGGGAGCAGGCGATGATGGGCGGAAGGGGGAGCAGGGGATGATGGGCGGAAGGGGGAGCAAGGGATGATGGGCGGAAGGGGGAGGAGGAAATGCGAATCTGGAGAAAGAGCGAATGGGGAGGAGGAGGCCCCGAAAATGGAGGGGACAGGAGGTGAAGGGTGGGTTTGATAAAAACGGGGGAGAATGGGGAAGAAGAGCGGAAAGGGAAGTTAGAAGTCAGAAGGGGAGGGAGGGGAGGGAGGGTGTGTGAGAAAGGGAAGCGACGGGGACTAGTGGTGGTTGTTGAGTCGACTCAAAAGGACTAGTGTTGATTGTGAAAATGAGGCGAGAACTGGACATGAGATGCTCTACGTGCCAGCCAAGAGCAGGGAATGCAAATCTACTTTTTCCACCTTCATCTCTCACACATTCTGCTCTCCCCTCTCCGTGTCTTCACAACAGCCACACACTCATGCTCCTCCTCCCTCCTCCTCCACCTCTTGAGACTCAACTCAAACGTCACATCCTCCTCTCTCACTCACCGTGTTCTGCCTTTTCCTTGTCTTAACAACAGCCACATACTCATACTCCTCCTCCTCCACCTCCTCCTCTTCTTCCACCAAAATCTCCCCATCCTCCCCCATTCTCTCCACGCGCGTCCCATCCCTCGCCACACGCAGCACCAGCGAGTATGGCTTGCCGTCCGACACGAACCGGAACACCAGACCCTCGAAGCTGAGGGGACAGGGAAGGGGAGGGAGTTGGGGAGTTGGGTCAAGTAGGGGCAGAGCGGGAATATCAGCCCACCCACAGCACCAGCGAGAAAGGCTTGCCGTCCGACACGAACCGGAACACCAGACCCTCGAGGCTGAGAGGATGGGAGAACGAAGGGGGAGAGAGCAGAGGAGTTGGGATGGGTGGGGATAGACGGGAAGGCCAGCCCACCCGCAGCACCAGCGAGTAGGGCTTGCCGTCCGATACGAATCGGAACACCAGACCTCGAAGCTGAGGGGACAAGGGAAGTAGATGAGGAATTGGGGTGAGTCGGGACAGACGGACAAGCGAGCGAATAGAGGAGTTGGGATGAGTGATGACCCAGGACGAGGTCAGCCCTCCCGGGGCACAAGCGGGTAGGGCTTGCCGTCCGACACCACACGAACAGGAAGCGAGGAGGGGATGGGGGGAAAAGGGGGGAGGAGGGGAGGGGGGGGAGGAGGGGAGGGGCAGAGGTGGGAAGGGGGAAGGACATAGGGGGATGGCGGAAGGGGAAACGGAATCACTTAGAAACCAACCCGACCATCACTCACCGTCCAAACGACAATCCCTCTGGAAGCGCGATCCGTCTCTTCGCCTCCACATACCCCCCGCGCGTGAACACGTATCCGGAAAACACGCCTCTCCCGTCCTCCGTGATACTAAACTCCGCGTCCATCCCCGCGCCGTACCGCAGGTCTATATCGTCCTTAATAGTCCGCCCCTCTCCTAACTCCCACCCTTCCTGGAATCGCTCTTTGCTGAGTCTAAGAACCAGGGCTTTGCTCTTGCTGCTGCGGCCGGCGCGGCGCTGCGCTAAGTGGTGATTATAGTCTAGGAACGCCTTGGAGAGATTAACTACGCCCATGTGGTCGACCCGTTGGAGGTCAGCGGCCATTGCGGAGCGAGCCGAGGCGCAGAAGACGACCTTATTGCACCCCTCCACCGCCTTTTGTAGTGCCGCCTCGTCAGCCAAATCAGCAACTGCCACCTGGCACGCACGTGGCAGCTGCTCGAGGGTCTCCGGATCCGCGCTTCTTACAAGGGCTTTAACAGTGTACCCACGCAAGAGCAACTTTCTTACAAGCACTTTCCCGACGCGGCCCGTCGCTCCCGCTACAAGCACAGTCGTGAACTGAGCGCTAGGGACACCAAAATCGGCGTCCAAACCGCCTCGCACCAGCTCGGTATAATCCTCCGCATCCACCGGCGCCGGACGCGCTATCTGGCCCAGCTGGATCAATCTCCGCCACACATCGTCGAGAAACTGCCGGGATCGACGGCCGAGATCCACAGGGTTCACGTCTTCAAGCGACAGCTGCTGCTGCTGCTGCTGCTGCGAAGCTTCGCCCAATTGCTCCTGCTGCTGCTGCTGCTTCACGGCCTGAAGTTGCTGCGCAGTTTCGTCGGCAGCGACGGGGTCAGCCAGTGGAACGTCGGCCTTGATTGGGCGGCTGCCCGACGGTGCTGCTGCGGAATCTGCGAATTCGGGATTCGCAGAATTCGAAGTTAAATTAGAACTCTCGTCATTGCCTCCGGCTGCTCGTGTGCGCACTACGTGGAAACGCTGCGAATGGAATAACGGATGCCTCTTGTCGAGAGAACTGGCGCGCCTAGTGCACACGGGAGACGAAATGAGCGGAGACTTGCGGAGGAAGGGGACTGGAAAACCGCTGCGTTGCGCAGATGCGGAATGCGCGGCAGCAGTTACACCCCCCGCGGTGCTCAGGCGCACGGGAACGGCGGGCGACGCGACGATAGCCATGACAAGTGCGGCCCAGCAATGAACCACCAAATTAGGCGAACACGAATGACTCAAAAGGCCTGAATAAAAATATGTTCAACCACCAGTCGCTCACTTCTCTCGTTCTCCTTGGAAGCCAGGCTTGGAGAATGTCAGAATGCCACATGGGAGGCAGAGTTTGGAGCTGGGGAATTTGCTCTGGCAGGCATTGAGATTTCCTCGGTTTGGCGTTGGGTTTGGCTCGGTTCTACCTTGGGATTGGTTCGTTCAGGCTGGGACGCGTCGAAGGGTGACGTGGAATTGCGCGCCAGGCTGGGCTCCCAAAAGTGTGGTCGCAAGGCAGCCATTGGGACCTTCGGTGGGTCCAGATTGGATCGCATTGACGTGGAATCGAAGGCTTCCACGACACCTGGGCCACGATCGACAATGCTACGTGGTCAGAGCAGATGCCAGAAATTTCGCACGACGATGTAGGTTCACTTTACGAAGTTTACCTAACTGCCAACAGTAAGTACACCGAACAGAGGCAAGAGTGTTAATGCATCTAATTAAACCAGAATAGCCTACGAGAATGCTAACGTAGCTGGAAGCCCCATTATTGTAAAGTCATCATAGAATGACAACTTATGCCTCACTAAGCATTGCACAGCATTATCTCATAAGATCTGGTTCACCAGTACAAAAGCATAAACAAAAGCCTACTAAAAGCAACTTTCTAAGCATAAACATAAGCCTACAAAAAGCAACTTTCTGGTTCACCAGTACCAGCCATTTGGAACTGTTGCAGACCTAACTAACAAACCTACAACAATCACTCGAAATTACACTGCAGAACAGGCTTTCAAACACCCCTATTTCACAAGCTTAGTGATGAAGACATCCCAATTCCTGCCCCACAGTTGATTCTTGCAACTGGAACCCACCACACCATGCCGAGCCATTTTGCAGCCAGGCATGAAGCTGCTCCAAGCGATTCCTGCTCCTGACCAAGAATGGTGCAGCCACCAACTTTGGAAGGGCACAAATAACGAACGATCCGCTTAGACACTCAAAAGTTTCAGCTGTCCAGCCGGCACAAGCATTACCCGTTTCATCCAGAGAAAACGATGGAGGTCGAGATTGCAGAGTTCGGTAAATTCACTGAGGGTTAGAGTATGACACATCCACACTTGGCGGACTCGGGCTGCCAGCAAAAAAAAAAAAAAAAAAAAAAAAAAAAAACCAGACAAGATGAAAATACCAAATCGGTCAAGGCAGATGTATGGTCTGAAACAAAAGACGAACGGAAAGAACAAGATAGAGAGGACGTGATAACGTTAATGACAAATGAAGGGGAAAAAAAAAGAACCATAATAAACCTCGTTCGGAAAATAGAGTCTGACAACTTATGTAGGTTGAACGAGCTGGATTCGACGAAACTTATAACTGTTTCGTATCAACTCATGGGAGTCTGATATCTATGTCCGAATTGCGTCACTAGAGTAGCACATAGGGAACTTTTCGCAGAATGTTAGTTGATTAAAGCTTACCTCAGGAGGAGTATCTTTGTTGACCTTCGTCTTGTGGGGCTCCGGGAATGCTGGAACCCCCCCACCCGAGCTGACGTCTCTAAATTGCGCAGTGAACCCGCCACCGCCCTTCTTGCCACCACCCCCTGTTGGCGGCATCCCGCCCTCCGACTGCACCGGGAAATGTGAGAACAAGGGGGAAAGGATATTAGGGAGGATATGGGAGGATGGGGAGGAGGAAATACGCGAGGGATTGGTACGAATGGTGGAGGGAGAGTTGAAATAAAGGACTCGAAGGCGAGACTTGTGTGGCACTTCAAAGATATCATGCGGAGATGGAAGCGCGCGAAGGAGAGATGGTTCCCAAGGGAAGAGCTTGGGGTCGAGAGTAAAGTGGTACAAGTTGAGGTACGAAAGGTTCAGATCGTAAAAACAAAGGGAAAAAGAACTGGATAATGATGAAGACAACAACACCACATGACAGGGAGAACAGACTTCTGGCGAACTTGGAAGGACCAGCTGTCCAGCTAACATGAGGGTATGGTAACTGTGGTTGTTGAACAGGTTTTAGTTTGAATCAAACGTACCGCCATGGCCTGGATGGGTCTTCAAAGTCAAAGCGAAAGGGAAGGTGTACGTAACCCTAAAAAACGTAGAAACACTTCTATACTACTTCGCAGCAGCCCCTCGAAATGACGTAAACTACAACCTTCTGCCACCGAACGTGATGAGCATCGGCAGATAAGATCACTGCACCCAATTGATATGAGAAGTTGGAGCAAAAGGTTCCACCAGAGCGTATCCTAATGGTTTCTCGAGCAGAGCTGAAACAGGAAAACACGCAAATGCATGATTCAGATGCGGAAGAGGTAGTCGTTGGAGCGTGACTGCGGAAGGTTGGTGAAGGCGGAGAAGTGGAGGGAGTATGGGGGGAAAATGGGGGGAGAAGTGTGGGGAGAATACGGGAAACAGAAGAGGAAGCCCCTGGGTGTATTCCCCCGAACAAGCACAACGAATCTTTCCGCCCGCCCTGCCTGCCGCTGCATCCTGTCAAACCCGCGGAACCGCCATCAGGCACATGCAGAACGGCGGAGAACGCAGGCATGGGGGTCACCCGGAGGAGAGGTGATGATGGGGGGTTGCGGAAGGCCCAGAGCGTGTTGCGGTTGGTGAGGTGAACGGACTTCTGGAGAAAGAGTACACTACTTTTCCACGTGTCGCGCGGTTACTGCATGGATGTTGCCAGGCTTTCCCGCTCTCTGCGACGTGCGTGACTACGACTTGGAAGTGCTGCTACGATTCGCTCCCCACCTCCACTTCACTTGCAGCCTCTGTGCTCAAGTGATTCGTGAGTGTGCAGGCCGTTTTAGTAATAGTGATAATGATAAAACACATGGATGGCCACTTATGTTACATGTCAATCAATAAAACAAAAACATTTCTCTTACCCAACCAGGCACAAGCAAACAACCTTCTAAAAAACGGCACTCTGGGGACCGTCCGTTCCACGTGGGGTGTTCGCCTCACTCTTCACCGCTTTCTTCCCTAAAAACCCCCCCATCACAGACTTCCTCCACCCAGTCTTGCTACCAGACGTTCCACGCCTACCCTTCCCTTCTCCCTCCGGTCTCTTCATGCGCAACGGAGCAGGGACCCCCATAGACGCCCTGAGCGAGGGAGGCGGAGTCCCGGCCGCTGAAGCAGGACCGTTGATCGGCGTTGCAACCGCAGAGGACGGCCCTGATTGACCGGCACTCATGAAATGCCTTATAGCACGAAGCTGCCCAGGATGGAACTCCGCACTCTTGGCAAATATCCCACTGTCTTCCCCTGCTGCAGTTGACAGGAGCCCAGAGGTGGGAATGGACGGCATACTCGCACGATTGCTGGCTGTATTGTAAGACGAGCTCCTTCCTGGAAACATCCTTGCAGCGGACGGACCAGCATCACTGCCAGCTGCACCAGCAGCACCACCAGCACCAGCAGCACCACCAGCACCCGCAACAGCAGCAGCAGCTGCTGCAGCTGCAACAATCTCCCCCTCTTGGCTCCTCCCTACCAGAGACGCCTCCCTCCACTTCCTCAGAGTGTCCGCTGCTTCCTCTTCAACCCGCTTCTTCCGGATCCGAGCCTCCTCCCTCCACTTCCGAACCTCGCCTTCCAGAGCATCCAAGGTTCGGCGAAGTGCCCTAACCTGCAGCCGAAGCTCCCCTTCCGCATCCTTAGCTGTCTTCAACTCTCCCTCAACCGCAGCCAGCTTAAAAGACATCTCAGCCTCCATCTTCCCCTTCTCCACCACCACTCTATCCTTCTCCGCTTCTGCAGCAGCAGCAGCCACTGCTGCCGCTGCCGCAGCCTCGGCCGCAGCAGCGGCAGCGGCAGCATCCTTGGCTCTCCGTTTCTCCTCGCCCTCCTTCCATTTGCGTTCCAAGCTTCCTTGATTCACCCTAGCTCGCCACAGACTAGCCGCAAGCCGCACTGACCCCCCAGTCTTGGCCTCTTCAGCTGCTGACCTCGCTGCTGCTTCTGACACTCTCAACCCCTCCATCTCCATCCGCACCGCTTCCAACTCCCCCTCCGCTGTGCCCGCACGTTCCCGAGCCTCAGCAGCTTCGGCCAGAGCTGTTTCCGCTGCTAGTCTAGCCTCGGCAGCCTCGGCCTGGGCCGCCTCTGCCGCCTGCTTAGCTTCTGCGGCTTCAGCTTGAGCCAATTCTTCACCCTCCTTCGCCCTTCCAGCTTCCAACTGTGCGTTAACTGCTGCCACTCGAGCCTCTTCCTCCCTCCCCTTCGCCTCTCCTTCTCGGCTCCTTGCTTCCTCTGCTGCTGCCTCTGCTGCCACAACCGCTGCTGCTGCTGCCGCTGCCGCTGCCTCTGCTGCTCTCTGCGCTCTTTCCGCTGCTGCTTTCCCTGCCAGAGCTGCTTCTTTCTCTGCCAAAGCCTGCCGCATCTGCTTCTCCCCTCCCGCTGCCACTGCAGCAGACGACGCCAGTGCTGCTGTCACCCTTGTTTCTGCCTCCTCCTCCAGTTCTTTCACTCTCTCCCTCTCCTTCCTCAACTCCTCATCAAGCTCTTTCACTCTCTCCCCCTCCTTCCTCAACTCCTCCTCCATTTCCCCCCTCTCCTCCTCAAGCTTATCCTTCTCTCCCTGTACTCTATCTCTCTCCCCCTCTAACCGATCCCTCTCCTCCTCTAGCTCCTGTATCCTCCCAGCCAGTTTCACCCCCGTTGCTTCCAATCCACTCCTTCCTTCCTCCAGATCACCCATCCTCTCTGTAAGCTGCTTCACCTGCTCCTCTAGAACGCCCTTCTCCTCCTCCATCTTACTCCGCAACTCCTCCTTCTCCTTCTCAGCCTCCCCAACAGCCTCCTCCTTCTCTCTCCCCAACCGCTCTACCTCAGCTGCCCACTCCCCTCTCACCTTCTCCAACTCCTCCTTACCCTTCTCCACCTCCTCCTCTCGCTCCTTCAACCTCCCTCTCAACCCCTCCATCTCCCCTTCCATCGCCACCACCATCTCACTCCCTCTACTCGCTGCCATCCTCGCAGCCTCCCTCGCCTCCTCCTCTGCTTCCTTAGCCCCCGCCAACTCCTCCCTCAACCCTGCCTCCCTCTCCTCCCCCTCCCTCCTCTCCCTCTCCAGACCCTCCAGTTTTTCCAGCAGCTCTTGCACCTTCCTCTGCGCCTCTCCTTCAGACATTTTCGCCGATTCTTTCACAGCAGCAGCAGTAGCCGCGGCAGCGGCAGCAGAAGCAGCAGCCGCAGCCGCAGCAGCCTCCTTAGCCTCGGCACTGGCCCGAGCCTCTTTCAACTCTTCCTCAAGCCCTGCTATCCTCTCCTCTTTCTCCCGAACCTCCCCAGTCAACCGTTCCACATCACCCTTCACCTGCCCGAGCTCATCTTTCACCTGCCCGAGCTCATCTTTCACCTGCCCCATCTCCCGCTCTTTCTCTCCCAGCTCGCCATCCTTAGCCGCTGCCGTCGCCACTGCTGCCGCCGATGCAGCAGCAGCCTCCGCTCTAGCAGCAGCCTCAGCCGCAAGCGCCGCCTCCAAATCCTCCTCAGCCTCCTTCTTCCCCTCCTCACTCTCCTCCAACGCCATCCTCACTTCCTCCAACTCTCCTTTCACTTCCTCAAGAGTCTTTTTTGTCTCATGCAGCTCCTCCCTTGTCTTTTCATGGGCATCCACCTCAGCAGCCAGCCCATGCTTGGTCCCATCCATCCCCTCTAAAAGCGTCTCCACTTTCTCTCGGAGCCGCTCGTTCTCTGCACTCAGTTCTTCCTTCTCGCCCCTCTCCTTTGCCAAAGCCTCCTCTAGCTCCTTCCTCTCCCCCTCCTTCTTCTCCAGCTCCCCCTTTATAGTCACAATCTCCTCATTAGCAGCATCCAGAGCTGCCTGGGTCTCCCCAACCACAGCCGCAGCCTCGTCCCGAGCCTGCTCCAGCTCACCCGCCCGCACCTCAGCAGCTACGGCCCGAGCCAACAGCTCCTTCTCCTTCCCCTCCGCCTCCCTCCTCCTCTCCTCCGCCTCCTCCCTCACTCCTTCCAACTCCTTAACCGTCTGCTCCTGCTTCTCCTGCCATCTCTTCACCTCTTCTTCCACACCCTCCTTCGCAGTTACCACCTCAGCCAGAGCAGCAGCATGGCTCACAATAAGAGCCTCTTTCTCATGAGTCAATCGCTCAATGTCTCCCTTCAAGCCCTCCCTTTCCTTCTCCAGTGCCTCAATCTCCCCCCTCGCCTTCCCCACTTCCTCCTCCCGCTCGCTCCTCTCTTTCGCCACTCCTTCCAGCTCGGCCCGAACCTCCGCCAGCTCCGCTTCCCGAGCCTCTGTTGCAGCTTCGGCAGCTCCAAGGTCGGCAACCGCAGCGGCAAGCTTTCCTATAAGCTCTCCATTCTCTTTCTTAAAAGCTTCCAGCTCCCCTTTCAACCCTTCAGCGGTCCCTTGTGCCTGCTCAAGTTCAGCAGTCAAAGCCTCTTCTCTCTTCTTTCCCTCCTCCTCTCTCTTCCTCCCCTCCTCCTCTCTCTTCTTCCCCTCGTCCCTCTCCTCCCTCACCTTGTTTATTTCCTCCACCAGCCCCCCCGCCTCTCCAGACTTACTCTCTAAATCGCTCTTCATCGCATTGTACCGCTCGTTCAGTGCCTCGTGATCTTTCTTCAGGGAATCATGCGTGGCAGTCAGCGCTTCCAGCTCAGCATGGATGCCAGCCAGATCAGAATACGATTCCGCCAGCTCAGCAGCTACAGCTACCCGCCCCTCCTTCTCCTCCTCAAGCTCACTCATCAACCCTTCCTTCGCTATAGTCACCTCCTCAATCTTAACCGCCAGCGCTGCCTGTGCTGCCGCCAGCGCAGCACATTCTGACGTCAGCTTCTCGTTTGCTGACTTCAGCTCCGCGTGCTCTGACATCAGCGCTTGGTGCTCTGACGTCAGCACCTCATGCTTCCCCTTCAGCTCTCCCAATTCCTCCTCCCTCCCCCCCAACTCCCCCCTCACCTGCTTCACCTCCTCTTCCAACAAACCCTTCGCTTTAGTCACCTCCTCTACCTCCTTTACTCTCTGCTCCAGCTCTCCCTGTGCTGCTGCCAACTGACCCTCAACCGCCTCCCTGGCTGCAATCTCCTCCTTCCGCAGTCTCTCTGTTTCCGCCTTTTCGAATTCCGCCGCCTCCCTCCCCATCCCCATCTCCTCCATCCTCCCTTCCATCTCTTCTATCCTCTCATGCAATTCCTCCCTCTCCCCTTTCACCCCTTCTAACTCCTTCCTCACCTCATCTCTCTCCTTCACCAATTCATCCCTCTCCCTCCTCACACTCTCAAGCTCCTTCTCACTCTCCTCCCTCCCTCCTCTCTCCCTCTCCACCTCCTCTTCTAACCCCCTCACCTTCTCCTCCAAACCCCTAACCTTCTCCCCCAAAACACCCGCCTCCCCAGTCGCAACCGCAAGCGCCCCTTCCGCCACACTCTTCCCCGTCCTCTCCTCCCCCACCTCCTTCTCCAGCCCCTCAACTCTCTCCCTCAGTTCCCCCACCTCCCCAGTAGCCGCTGCCAAAGCCGCCTCTACCTCCCTCTTCCCCTTCCTCTCCTCCTCCACCGCTCCCTTCAAACATTCAATCTCCTTCCCCTGCTCGTCTACCCTCTGCTGTAATTCTCCCACTCTCTGCTCCAGCTCCCCCACCTGCCCGTCTCTCTCCGCCACTTTCTCCCTCAAATTCTCTGCTTCCTTCAACGCTTCTCTAACAGCTGCCTCCTTCGCCTGTATTACTTCCTCCTTCTCCCGAATATCCTTCTCCTTCGCCCGTATTTCCTCGTCCTTCTCTCGCATCTCCTCCTCCTTCGCCCTTCTAACCTCCTCCAACTCCTTCCCCAACTCCTCATGCTTCCCCTTCCACTCCTCCGCCTCCTTCCTCGCCTCCTCATTCCTCCCTTCCAACGCCACCATCTCCCTCTCCCTCTCCTCTCCCCTCTCTCTCAACTTCCCCAACTCCCCCTCCGCATCCTCAACCCGCGCTTTCAGCTGCCCTATCTCCTCCTCAGCTTCCCCTTTCTCTCCTCTCAACCCTTCCAGTTCACCCTTCAACCCCTCCACTTCCCTCTGCAGCTTCTCGTTCCCATCCTCCATATCATGCAACTCGTTATTCGTTTTATCATGCAGCTGCTGCAGTTGCTCCAGCTCCCGCCCTTGCTCCTCGCACTTGCCTCTCATACCCTCCATCTCCTCTTCCATTTCCCCCTTCTCTTTCGCCATCACCTCTAATTCCTTCCCCCTTGCCTCCCACTCCCCCTTAACCGTTCCCAACTCCTCCGTTACCTCTTTGTTCTCACTCCTAAGGGACTCCATCTCCTCTTTAAGCTTTTCTAGCTCCTCACAAGTCCCTTTATGCTTCCCTTGCAGCCCCTCCAACTCGTTAGAAGACTCCTCGTGTTTCGCTTTAAGCTCATCCAGTTCCTTTTCCGCATCTGCAGCCTCTTTCCGTAACCTTTCCACCTCTTCCCTCGCCTCCTCCAGCTCGCCACGTGTCACCTTGTGATTCGCCTCTTCTTCACTCAGCTGCCCGCTAACCTTCTCATTCTCCGACTCAGCAACCAACAGCTCTGCCTCTTTCGCCGCCAGGGCAGCCCGGGCAGCTGCCAGCTCAGCCGTCAAAACTTCCGAGGCTGCCCTGAGAGACTCGACTTCAGCCTTCAACGGAGCCACCTGCCCGTCTTCAATATCTTTCAAGGCTGCCCGGATTGCTTCTTCTGTCTTGGCCGCCTGTTCCTCCTCCATCTTCTTCCTCATCTTAACTTTGGCAGACTCAAAGGAAGCCATTTCCTTCTCCATAGCAGCCAGTGCAAGCTGACAGGTGCAGACGAAAGGGAGGCGTGGGGCGGAAGGGAGGGGGGGAAGGGAGTGGGGAGAAAGGGACAGACGAAAGGGAAGTGGGAAGAGAAGGAGGGGTTGGTTGGGGAGCATAAGGGACAGATGAGGCTGCGGCAGAGCGCCAGCCTCCAGCGGTTTCAAACTTGCACTCGCACATCCCCCAGTGCACTGCGTGCTACTCTTGATATTTAAGGCGCCTCAAAAATCGTCCAGCGGTTTCAAAGCGGCACTTGCACATCCCCCAGTGCACTGCGTGCTACAATTGAGGCGTCTCACTCGCCTTCGTTCCCAATCTCCTATTCAGGTGCCTCAAACACGCATCTTAATATGTGCCTTATGCACACGTCAACGCGTGACTTCACGCGCACCTCAACCGTACCTGACACGTGCCTCCACACGCGGACCCATGCGTTCTCCTCACGTCATTCACACAATCTACCACCCCCATCCACCGCCTTACGTGAAGCCTGACGAATCTCAGCACACTCGTTCTTCTGTTCCAACCCGTATGCCACCCTTTTTTAAAACGCTCAAAAGATCATGAAGTCTTACGCACCTCAACAAGCCACTCTTTATCCAATCCCTAGACCACCCTTTATCACCCCGAACCCTGGTCCACCCTCTCCCACCCCTAATTCCACCCCGCGCACCTGCAGGCTCTTTTTGCGCTACTCGCTGATGACCATCTCCTCCTCCTCTTCCACCACCTCCACCACCTTGAGCTGACAGACCTTCCCCATGTGCCGCGCCTTCAGCACCCCTCACTCACCCCTCATCCGAGCCTAAACCACCCCTATTCCGAGCCTAGTCCGAACCTAATCTGAGCCTTCTCACCTGCAGGCTCTTGTTGCGCTGCTAGCTGATGACGATCTCCTCCTCCACCACCTTCAGCTGGCTAACCTTCTCCATGTGCCGCGCTTTCAGCGCCCATCAACCACCCTTATTCCGAGCCTGATCCGAGCCTAATCCGGACCTAACCCGAGCCTGATTCGAGCTTAGCACCCGGCGCACCTGCAGGCTCTTGTTGCGCTGCTCGCTGATGACGATCTCCTCCTCCACGACCTTGAGCCGGCTGACCTTCTCCATGTGCCGCGCCTTCAGCGCCGCCAGCTCGAAGTTACTCAGCTCCAGGTCCTCCTCGAACTTGTGCAGCATCGTCTCCATCTGTTTGAGCCGTTTGAGGGAGGGGAGAAAGTGGAACAGGGTGGGGTGGTTTGGGGGAGAGGAACAGTGGGTGGATGTGTTGAACAGCCAGCTCGAAGTTACTCAGCTTCAGGTCCTCCTCGAACTTGCGCAGCATCGTCTCCATCTGGAAAGTGAATGGGGTGGGGTGGTTTTGTGAGAGAGGAAAAGCGGTTAAGAGGTGTGGAAGAGCCAGCTCGAAGTTACTCAGCTCCAGGTCCTCCTCGAACTTATGAAGCATGGTCTCCATCTGAGAGGAGTCGTTTGAGGGAGGGTAGTGGGGGAGGAGAGGTTGACTGGTAAGGGTATCAAACGACTGGAAGGACGAGTGGTAGAGGTGCAGAAGGGCCAGCTGAAAATCGCACATCAGGCCCTACTAGAATTTGCTACACATATCGAAAGCGCACAATGCTGCATTCTCTAGGTTCTTACTCGCAGAATCCAGCCCGCGTCGTACCTTACGAATTTCTTCCCGCGTGTAATTCCCGCCCGGCGAAAACGACCGCTGAGTTGGCGACGCCTTCGCAGCAGCAGGCTTGGCCGACGAGCCTGGGGAAGACAACCCTAGCGGCTCAGGCTCGGCACCCGCGCGGCTTTTCGCCTTGGTTCGGGAATCCCGAGGCGATTCCTTCGTCCCATCCCTGACGGAACCAGCGGAACCTCCCACAGGCGGAGAATCCTTCACCCCAGCGGATGCGTCTTTTCTCGCTGCCACAGGATCTTTGTTTCCCCCAGATGATCCGGTCGTCGTGTGACGAAGCTTAACCTGGGGTAAGAAGGACGAGGAAGACGACGACGAGGAGGATGGACCTTTTGCGCTATCGCCTGACGATGGTCGTGGCCCTTTAGCCGCGCTAGACCCAACCGGCCTGAGCCCTAAGCGGTTAGGTGCTGGCCCTTTGGCTTCCTGCTTCACATCTCCCTTAATCTCGTCTTTAAAGTCTCTGGGTTCTGACGCGTTTCCGTCGTAAGACTGCGGACTAGCAAACCCGCCTGACGGATGGCGGATAAGTCCTTCCGTGCTTACAACCGGTCCAGAGGACCGCCGCGTGATTTTCGGAAGGTCGCCGGAGGAGCCAGCGCTCGCATTGGCTGCGTGGAGTTTCGCCACGTAAGCAGCGGGAGCTCCTTTATTAGCTGTGACTCGTTTACCGAAGAGGCTGCTGAGCTCCTTTACAGACTTGTTGCTCGGCTCGTCCGGATCCGACGACATTGTCACGTGATTTGAATAATTAGGTATTTCAAAACGAGAGAGACGATGAAATCAACAAATACACAAACAAAAACGCACACAGGAAAGACTACTAGGCCTGCACAGAGAGCTTCATAAGCAGGAGGACAAGCACAGGAGAAGTTTCCGAGAACGAAAGTGTGATTCTACCGGAAACCGTCGCGCGCAAACGCTATGATGCTATGACTACTAAGCGTCAGTCCCGGCACACAAAGTCAACGAATCGAACAGTGCCATGAGGACAAGGTGATCTGAAACACGCACATACGCCTGACAATACCACAGCTGAACCAAGCACTGTCGTGGCACCTACAACTGCACTGCTGCTACTGCAGCAAGCAAGAAGAAACCTTTCACACCAGCACCATGAGTACTGCAACACCTCCTGGGATTTTGTTCTGTGCTGCTTTACTGGCAGTGGCCGAGTTATGCCGGAACGGTGGTGATGTTTGAAGCTAGGGTTCTGTACGTTTTAATGCGGTGGGGTGAGATTTTCACTCGCCTTCCCCTTGACACCACAACTGCGACATTACCGTTACGATTGCGAGAGCGCCACCGATTAAAACGCAACAAACCGATCTGCACCTGATGGTATGCTGGTTGAAACCAGGGTCATCAGGTTTCTTCTTGCGTGGGGATTGGATGAGAGCAAGTGGTGAGTCATATTTTCGCGGGAACTGCTGGCAAAAGCTATGCACCAATACCGTGATTCCTCGATTCCCGATATGTGTGACTAGACCGGAAGGTCCTCTTGTTTGCTTCACTGGGTTGATGGCGCGGAATTTGGGACCAGTCATTTGTCAGCTCGTCGAGGAGGCTAGCGGGCGGGATGTGTTCGAAATTTCTGGGATTCCTGCTCACGCCAGTGCCGTGCGGGTGATGTGATGACCATGACCACCCCACTCGCATCTCTCGAGACGAGAGGCCGCACCGCACGCACCGCCACGTTTCCGACCTGTCAGAGATACTGTTCGGAAAAATGCTTCCAGTCTGGAGGAGACAACCCTGCCGTCCGGTTCTGGTCGTTCGTTACGACTTTACAGTGACGTGAAGAAATGCTTTGACACTTCAATGAAAAGGAATATGATGCAAAAATTGAAAATGAAGCATCAACTACGTAAGCTACACAAGGCACACATCGTGCCTCAAATATATCCCCTTGCCACACCTGGAAGTCAAGTTAACTACCTACAATCTTCCAACTTCATGGTTCGCCAAGATTCGGTAACTCGAAAACTATTTAACGTCATGGAGCACCTTTATTCATGCACCATTTCTATTTGTGTGAGGGCCCTCCTCGATTTGTGACAAATGACAATTTAATCTTACGCCTTGTTAGCATCGCCATCGGTCTCCTCCGGTGCAAACATGTCCAGCACACCGGACCAGTCCCGCTTCTCCCGTCGCTCCCAGTAACCCCCAGTGTACCGCCATGTGTTGTTAGGCCCCGAGGGCTTGAACCACCGTGGGCCCCACCCTGGTTCCCCGTCTTTGAGCGCCTGATTCGACAGAGTTATAAAGGGGAAAGGGCAATATGGTCATAAATATTCAAATTAGGCCCGGCTTTCTTCCCCAACCGTGAGGGGTGGCAAAAAGAGTGGAGAAGCATGAGAAAGCGGGCAAGAGAAAGGGGGGTAAGAGCGATTGGTGACTGAAATCACGTGTTGGTGCAACAAAGCAGTGTAGTCCTGGGCACGAGATGCACCTTGCGCTGGCGCTGCTCGAGGCGGCACTTCTCCTGGTTGGCAAAGTCGTACCGCCCCTCCTCCAGAGCCCTCTGATCCTCCCTCAGCCGCGAGTCCGTGGGGGGCAGACATTCCTGTAGGGGACAGAGGAGGAGGGGATAGGGGAGGGGTGAGATAATGGGTGAAAGCTGAAGTCGTACTGCCCCTCTCCCCCAGCGCCCTCTGGTCGGCCCTCCCTCAGCCGCGAGTCCGTGGGGGGCAGACACTCCTGTGATGGGGAGAGGAAACGGGGGAGGAGTGGGTGGGGGGAGAGAGTTGGTGGGAAGAGCTGAAGTGGGCAGTTGGTTTTTGAGGCGCCTCAGAAATCTCTGTCTGCTGGACGGACGCGGACATGCCTGTGGGGTGCAGAAAGGGATGGAGATAGGGAGTGGGGTATAGGTGCTCTATCTAGGGACCAACCTACGGGGAGAACGATAGATGAGAGGTCGTCTTCCCATATGAAGCCTCATCCTGACAGACGACTAAATCCCCCCACACACGCATTTTAGGGCCATCCAGACACACCCTCCCACCCACTCACCTTGAGCGAGGGAGTGAGCTCGTTGAGTGTGATTGTGAAGGGTGTGAACTTGTAGCAGGTGGCTATAAAATCAATCAAGGACCAAGGGCGTGCCACACACTTGCTTACCTTGAGCGAGGGGGTGAGCTCGTTGAGCGTGATGGTGAAGGGCGTGAACTTGTACTTGGTGTTGGGCGGCACAGGGTTCTTCTTCCAGATGAGCTGCGCCGTGGCCAGCACCTCGCTCTCCTCCTTGGCTGTCTTGCTCGTCAGATCCCCCGGCACATAGTGCACGTGCTGGTCCCACCGCCCCATCAGCGTCCCCTGCTCGTCCCCTGCCTCGTTCTGCACCAGCCCCCGCACCTGAGAGGGTGATGGAGAGGGGAGGGTTGGGGAAGGGAGGGGTGGCATGGAAGCAAGGGAGGAATGGGTTTGTCAGGTCTCCTCCCCTCCCTCCTCCCTTAAACGTAGTGCATGTGCTGGTCCCACCGCCCCATCAGCGTCCCTTGCTCGTCCCCTGCCTCGTTCTGCACCAGCCCCCGCACCTGGAGGGGTGGGAGAGTTGGGAGGGGGCCTATTAGAGCCAAATAACGAGGAAGCTACCTAATGCCAGTGACTCAAGTCCTCACTTCAGGTTCTTGCTTCTACTTCATGCGAGGTGGTGTGTTCATGGGCTGTACCTGGTACAGGTTGTTCCCGTACCTGCTGTGGGTTCTTCCCATTCATTATCTGGGTCGTTCCCATACCTGGTGCGGGTTCCTATCAAAGGTGGAGCGCTCTTTGAAGCGCAGGCGGGCAGAGTACCCACGGTTGCCCTTGATGCGCATGGTGCCATAGTGCTCCACAAAGGGCTTCCCCAGAATGAGGTTCTGAATCAGCACGGTCACCTGATGGGGCATGGGGGGAGAAGGATGGGAAAAGACAGTCCGGATGGTCAATCCTCAAAGTTTGAATAATAACACATCAACATACACTCCTGGAACTCACACCACCCCACTCGTGCATCTTCCTATCATCAAACTCCAGTCAGCTCCCTCACTGCATCCAGCTGGATAAACGGCCCTCACAATCGAATCCCAACGTCACAGTAACCCTAAAAATGGATCAACATGCACTTATATAACTTCGGCAAAAAGTGAATACACAAGTGTAACTCACATTGCTCCACTCGTACGTCTCCCCGTCGTCAAACTGCACAGTCAGCACGCCCACAGGGTCCAGCTGGATGGACGGCCCCCAGAATCGAATCTTGGGGCACACGTCACCCCAGAACTTCCACCCTGTGCCGTCCACGTGCCAGGCTATCATTGGAGGATAGTGCACCACCTGGGACAATGCGATGAGAGGTGAGTGTGAGACGAAAGGAATTGGGGAAAGGAGATGAGGGAGAGAGCGGGAAGGGGATGGTTAACCATTGCCTTCAATTTTGATATCAACTCACAACTCATCGCCTCACGTATGCAACTCACAACTCAGAGATGTAACTCACCGATTCGGAGATGTAACGGATGCTCTTGTCAGGATAGTCCCCTTCGGTGGTCTTCCCCAGCAGCGGATTGAAGGGCTTGTGCATGCGCCCCTCGTTGCCTGAATACACCTCATGTGCGACTCACAACCCGGGTATCTACTCACCGATTCGGAGATGAAACTCGCAAAGGAGGACATGTAACTCAGTGACTCCAATATGTAACTCAACGAGTCGGAGATGTAACGGATGCCCTTGTCGGGATAGTCCCCTTCAGTGGTCCCCCCCAGCAGCGGTTGAAGGGCTTGTGCATGCGCCCATCGTTGCTTGAATACACCTGATGTCTGACTCACAACCCGGGTATCTACTCACCGACTCTGAAATGTAACGGATGCCCTTGTCAGGGTAGTCCCCTTCGGTGGTCTCCCCCAGGAGCGGATTGAAGGGCTTGTGCATGCGCCCATCGTTGCCTGAATATCGTGAGACTGCGAATGCCGCCACGTGTGCTGCTCTCATCAACCGGTTGCCCTGCTTGTGGGGGAGAGGGAGGAGGGAGGAGGGAGGAGGGATGATGGAGGAGGGAGGAGGGAGGAGGGAAGAGGGAAGAGGGAGAAGAGAGCAGATGGTGAAAAGTTCAAAGTGGTTTTGTTTTTTCTGCTTGTGCCTTTTATAACTGAAACTGCACCACGTGTGCTGCTTGCATCAACCAGTAATCATGCTTGGGAGGGGAAGGGGAGAGGGCAGGGAGATGGAAATGTTTGAATAGCCCTGCAGACAGTCATGGAAATGGGAGTACTCAAGCATATCGTGGTACTCGTTCCAAGTTTCAACTCAACCCAACGCAACCGAACCAGCCCAACATAACCCACCAACCAACCCAGCCAAACCCAACCCTACCAAACAGAACCATGACTCATCCTCCGGCCATACTCTACACCGGTCCAGAAGTCATGAGTACTCCAGCATTTCCAGGTTTTTTTTTGTTCAGAGTCCCAAATCAGCCCAACCCAACCAACCCAACTCAACCGAAACCAACCAGCCTAATTAGAACCCACCCTCCGGCCATACTCCGCAGCTCTATCCAACAACCACGAGTACTCGAGCATTTCCAGGTACTTCTGGCTCGAGCTGAGCAGCTCGTTGAAGTTGACGGGGAGGGAAACCTTGAACATGTCCTTGCCCATGGACTCCATCAGCTCCAACCCAACCCAAACCAGCCCAGCCCAATCCAACCCAGCCCAACCGAACCCAACTTTTCCCAACCCAACCCAACCCAACCCAAGCGAAACCAAGCCCAGCCCAATTACAACTCACCCTTCGGCCGTACTCCGCAGCTCTATCCAGCAGCCACGAGTATTCGAGCATCTCGAGGTATTTCTGGCTCGAGCTGAGCGGCTCGTTGAAGCTGACAGGCAAGGAGACCTTGAACATGTCCTTGCCCATGCACTCCTTGAGCACGGACCACAGGTTCAGCGGCTTCTCCTCCTCCTCCGGGTCGGGGAGTTTTGATCTCCGCGGCACGTGCGGGTAGCTGAACCCCACCTGAGGTGCGCCGTGAAGGGGGGACGCGGAGTGGGAGGGAAGGACGGAGGGAGGAGGGCAGGCAGGGAAGGAGGCAGGCAGGCAGGCGGGCGGGCAGGCAGGCAGGCGGGCGGGCAGGCAGGCAGGCGGGCGGGCGGGCGGGCGGGCGGGCGGGCAGGCAGGCAGGCAGGCAGGCAGGCAGGCAGGCAGGCAGGCAGGGAGGGAGGGAGGGAGGGAGGGAGGGAGGGAGGGAGGGAGGGAGGGAGGGAGGGAGGGAGGGAGGGAGGGAGGGAGGGAGGGAGGGAGGGAGGGAGGGAGGGGTGGCATGAGGGGCTGGGTGTGGTGGGAGTTGAGGGGCAGCGAGACCTTCAACATGTCCTTGCCCATGCACTCCTTGAGCACGGACGGAGATATTCAGGCGCCTCAGAAGCAACCACACTTTCCATGCCCTGCCCAGCGAATTCGTCCATGGCCTCATACAAATCATCGTGACAATCGCTGTCCATGTCCCCCTCGTCTCTCTCGTCTCCCTATTCCCCTCATCCCCTTCGTCCCCTCATCCCCCCTCCCCCGCATCCCCCTCATCCCCCTCGTCCCCCCTCCCCCTTTCCCCTCCCAGACAGCTCACCTCTTCGATATCCAGCACGCGTTTCACCATGCCCTGCCCAGCAAACTCCGTCATCGCCTCGTAAAACTCGTCGTTACAGTCACTGTCCGTGTCCCCCTCGTCTCTCTCGTCTCCCTATTCCCCTCATCCCCCCCATCCCCCTCATCTGCCTCGTCCCCTTTCCCCCCTTCACGAGTGTCACCCTCCCCTCCCGGCAGCTCACCTCTTCGATATCCAGCACGCGTTTCACCATGCCCTGTCCAGCAAACTCCGTCATCGCCTCGTAAAACTCGTCGTTACAGTCACTGTCCGTGTCCCCCTCGTCCTCGTCCGTGTCCCGCACCGTCGACGTCAGCCGCGGCTCCTTCCGCGCCCCCCCGCCGCCTCGCGCTCCTGGGTCGTCGTCGCCCTCGTCGTCCCCATCGTCGTCGTTGAACGTGCTGTCTGCATCGTCGTCCTCCTCGCCCACTGGGGAGAGAGCGGGGGACGGGAGAGAAGGGACATGGAGGAACAGCAGTGGGAGGGCACAAGGTAGACGTGTTACTGCCAGTAAATCAGAGCACACGACTCGTCGCCCCCCCCGTCGTCCCCATCGTCGTCGTTAAACGTGCTGTCTGCATCGTCGTCCTCCTCGCCCGCTGGGGGGGAGAGCGGGGGACGGGAGAGAAGGGGCATGGAGGAACAGCAGTGGGAGGGCACAAGGTAGACGTGTTACTGCCAGTAAATCAGAGCACACGAGTCGTCGCCCCCCCCGTCGTCCCCATCGTCGTCGTTAAACGTGCTGTCTGCATCGTCGTCCTCCTCGCCCACTGGAGGGAGATGGGGAAGGGGAGGGTGGAACCGAGGAAAAGGAGTGAGACAAGCAGAGCGCATGGGTCGTCGTCCCCATCGTCGTCGTTAAACGTGCTGTCTGCATCGTCGTCCTCCTCGCCCACTGGGGGAAGGAGGGTGCGGGAAGAGGGGGGGGGGATGGAGGAATGTGAGGGGGAATGGTGTGGGTGGAGATTGAGAGGGAGAATGAGGAGGAGAGGGGAGATAAAAGGGTTAGAGTGGCTGAACGGTTACGAGGGCGGGAGGGGAGAATGTAGGAGGGAAGGAGAAGTAGGTGCACACGTAAGCATTGGATTTGCACACGAAAGACAATGGAATTTACAATGCCGTTCACTCACTGCACTGCTGTCTCACACATTGCCGTGCACTCACGAAGCATGGCGCTGCTGCTGGGTTGGCCCTGCTGCCTCTTCTCGTCCACCACTGCCGTTTCCAGCTCCACCTTCTCCGCCTGCAATCATCACATTCCGCCATTGTCACACCCAACCAGGGCACAAGTCAACACGTGGCAAATGCGATCATACACAGCACAGACCGCTTGCACCACCACAACACCTCCCAGTTTCCCCCTCCCACCCATTCTCCCCTTCCTACTAATCACCCACCTCGAGTTGCCGCAGCAGCGTCAGCAGCTGCAGCCGCTTCCTCTGCTCCTCCCTTAACTTAGTCTCTAGACGTACCACCACCTTCCGCCGAACCATCTCCTCCACGCCACTTATAACCTCCTCTTCCACCCCACTCCGCTGCATGTACGCCCTAACCGCGTCGAAGCACACGTGCGACGACACGTCCACCTTATTCGGCGCCGCGTGGAGCCTCTTAATTAGGTTCACGCGCGCGTTTTCTATGGCTTCCATCCAAAGCGCCCGCCCTGCTTTGGATTCCGTCCTAAGCCCCAGCGTTCTGTGCCCAAACACGTAAAACTTTCGGTTGTCCGTCGTGCTCGCGCGGATGGTTGACACGTGGAGCTCGATCTGCCCGTGCGGCGTTCTGTCGCCCAGCACGCCCAGCGACGTCGCCAGCACGCCGTTCTCGCGCTCGATTCGCACGTAGCGACGAATCTCGTCGCCGATCAGTCGCGCGCCCGGCCGCCGCTGCAGCTCGTGAAGCACGATGGCCTTATCTGGACCGTCCAATTTGAAGAAGGACAGAGCACCCTGGAGGAAGGGGAAGGGGGGAGGAGGGGGGAGGAGGGGGGTGAGGAGGGGGGTGAGGAGGGTAAAGGGGATCGGAAGAAGGGTAGGGGTCGACGGAACAAGGCTAGAGGGGTGCGGCGACGGTGAAGGTTGAGGGGACGGGAAGTGACGCAAAACTTAAGAACGAACAGAAGCAAGGGACAGAACGGAACACGGGCGCGCGAGCGAGCTTACTCCTTCCAGGACAAACAGTCGCATGCCCCAGCCGCGCCCGAGATTGACCCACTTCCACAGTATCCCCATGACCACGTCCGAGCTTTCTTGCGCCATTGCCGCGGGAACCATCAGGCCCCCCGCTCCGCCGCGCATCTGGTTCAGCATCTCCCCCCACCCTCCGCCCACGGGGACCAGCGCAAGCGCGTTTCCGTGCGCCGCCACGTCCTCGCCCTTGCTTGCGCTCCGCACAAGCCCCGTCTCCCCCTGAAAGCTTCCGCTTCCGCTGCGGGGGAGGATTTCCGCGCGGCTTTCCGACCTTCCGCTGCTAGTGCGCGATGCAGGCTGATTCACACCGCTGGTCTGCTTTCTCACATCTCCGCCGTCGATCGAGCATCTAGCCGATGCTCCTCGATCCTCCGCAATCGCTGCCGCCTCCGGCGCTCCTCGCCTCTCTATTTGCTGCTCCTCTGCCCCGCTGTCTCTCTTTCTCGGATCATAAGGGGACGACATTCGCGACCTACTGCGATGGGGACTGTTACCTCTGCGATTTGTAGGGTTACCAGCAGCAGTCGAAACGTCAACCGGTACTGTGGTGGTAACAACGTCGTTGCATACTAATAAATTTGCTTCATTGCTGTGAGTGGCGAGATTTTCCTTGCTTCGCCGGCGAAACGGATTTCCTAGTCGAAAATGCGACATTCCTAATTCCGGAGTGCTCGCGGTCACAGAGACGCTCTCGTGTTGCCGGTCAGCCGTCCGAGTAACCGGCCGGTAGGCAGAAAAGTCAACGGCGCCGGTTATAGAGCTGGTGGAGGCTGTCGCAGCCGTGAACGCAGTCGACGCTGATCGGCTAGCCGACAGAATTGGATGAGGATTTGGCTTTTCCTGACGGTTTCTTGACGACCGAAGACGGCCAGCCGACAGCATGAATATACTTTCTACTGATCTTCTGCCCGGAGAACCGAGCATGGCCGGGGGAGCGTCTGAAACGGGTGCGGTTCTCGGGGGTACTTCAGACTGCGAAAACGAATGGGAGCGACGGAGGAAAGGTTTGGTGCCATCGGAAGGGGTTGACGCTGACGATATCGGTAACGGGGACGGCGATGACGATTTTCGTTGAGGAGAGGAGTCGGCTTTCCTGCGGCGGAGGAGCGGACTGGGCATTCGCCGCGGTTTGACGTCCTCGTCTGGGGGAAGAGGGTCCACCCTCGCCATGGCTATCGCCCGCTGTACGGCTGTCCAACGGTCAGAAAATAATCGTAGCGGTCAGAACCCTTAGGTGTTACTTATGCCAGCACTCTTGGAAGGCTGATATTTCTAGGGGGAATGGGGGGAAGTGAAGAGGGGGGATTGGCCAAGTCAATGTCTTCTACAGGTGGATTTAGATTTTGTACTACCGAGTGGCATTCGCGACTTGGATGGACAGATACGGGGAGATTTTTATTGTCTCCATTGATCTGAAATTGTAGGATCAGTCTCTTGTGCCGTAAGACCTGGCACAGCTCAGCCTCACGCTAACTTCATGACTACGTTGATACAAATGCTTGGGTAATTTCTAATGCTGAACACTAGCTACGTCGTTTTCGAGATAAACGGAGATGCGAGGATGGTTTTACAGGACCATGTCGTGGTGGGTTGTGATAATGCGCTATGGATTCCCTGAAATGTGCCGTGGGCGTTGCTAGCTATCTCAGCATTCTGTTGACGAGCTTCCATGACAAAATCGAGGGAAACGGAATTCCTATGGATTGTTTGTGACGATGGAGGAAGGGTTGAGGCTGAGAGTGGGGGGGTGATGGGGAGGAGGGAGCGAGGGAGGACGGGAGTGGTGCTGTGAGGTCAGCAGGTTGGGGGAGAAACGGAGGGGATGGACAGGAAGATGGGGGAGAGACTGACCTCATGGGCAGGGCAGTGCAAAACAACGACTGGGAGGGGGAGACTCCCGAGGGAAGGGTCGTCTTTGACGTCATCGGACCAGAAACTAAGTTGTGCGATGCTTGTGCGAAGATACTGCTTGTCTCAGACAGCAGTGAAAGCGGCCGAGGGGTGCTGCTGCGGAGGAGAAAGTGTTGCATGGGCCAAGTGTGTGGTAAACGGGAAAGGACATGCGACGGGGTCGCCATCGCAGGGCCAAGAGCTGAAATGTGTCAAGCTCGGGCGATGCGAGCTAGAGAGAGAAATTCCGCATTTCTCGATTTGGTGGAGGTCGTCGAGCGTATGGATTGGCCCGCGAAACTGAGGTTGAGGTCGGGGCTCGGGCAGGTGAAACTGTAACATCGAGGCGCACCGCCAATCGGTTTGATGCGAACTGGAATTTCGAGTCGCTCTTCCACGACATTGAAAATTTCTCCAGTTCCCGCGCCTATTTGGCTCAAGGTGACACGCGACGCCGCCTTTCTCGATTTTTTCTGACGAGCAACGGATAAGTGATTTCAATCAAAGCCGGCCTGGGAAATGTTCGTTTGGGGTGAATTGCTCTATGGAAACGCACAAATGCAAAAATACCCGCATCAACAGCAACTCAATGTGATTGTCTGACAAGCAAATGACACATATTTCACATTACTGCACTCAATGCAACAAGCAGATGCACACGCCCTTCTGGTGAAAGCTGTAGACTGCTACTCAGGCAACCACCATCATATCTGGCCAAAATCATGCATGAATGGCGTCACCTTTGCTCACTTTCCCACCTTGAACATGAAAGTAGCCCAGTTAGCCTCGTTAGTGCGCTCCTTCCCCGAAACATATTGCACCGTGGCCCAAGCGCTGCCCTGTGGATCTACACTAATCGATTGAGTCTCGCCAAAAGCAGCATACTTTCCTGACAAAACCTCAAGCGGGGCTTGGCCGGGGCCAACGGCAAATATACTATTTCCCATAACTCCTTTCTGGTTTATGCGTACATAAGCCGCTGTAGGGAAGTACTCAGAGCCAATTAGTGTCGCTGCAAGAATGCCCCTTCCCTTGCTGGGATCGACAAAAAGACAAAGAGGGCATGTAGGGAGACAAGACGAGTGTGAGTGCAGGCAATCTCATGTTACAAGGGGAGGAGAGGGCAAAAGGAACACAAACCCTATCACAAACCAAGACACAAGTGCATGTGCTTCCTCTGCTGCTTTTTCAAAAAGGTAACGAAAAGAGCTTGATTGAAACCACCCGTGCATAAGAAGACAATGAATGCTTACCATCCCGCACTCACTAACCTGTTGAAGCCAATCACAGGGCTGAGCAGGCTCTGCCCCGGCACTCCATAAATCCCAAACTTCTTCACCAGGGTCGGAAACGACCTCTTCCCCCGCAGGAACGGCTGCAGCTTAACCAGCGCTACAGACGGCACTGAGGTCGGATCCAGGCTGTAGCCCGACGGAAACGCCATCCACACATGCCCCTCGAACCACGCTACAGATGTGGACGTCGGCGGAACCACATCCTGGGGAGTATCATACGGCGGCGGCCCAGGCTTCTGCTTGGCATAATCTGAATCGTAGTACGCGGGAGTGTTGATTATGGAGTAGCGCAGCCGGAGCGTCGGGTGTGGGAGCATGAGAGAGGAGGTGTCGGAGAGGGACCAGAGCGCGAGGGAAGTGTGCGGAACGGGGAAGGTGAAGGAGATGTCGATACAGCCGAAGAAGACTTTGTCCTGGCCTTTGAAGCGGGAGAGGCGGGGGACTCGGGGGGACTGCGGCTCGAGGCCAAAGACAGGGAAGCTGTTGTAGTTGATCATGGGGATGGCGAAGCGCACCACTCGCTTGGAGGAGCGCAGATAAAGCTTCGGCTTGTGTATCGCACTGGAAGTGGGAAGGGGGACGGGGGTTTGGGGGAAAAGAGGAGGGGGATGGAGGAGAAAAGGTTGGGGGACGAGAGAGGAGAAATTTTTTTGGCTACTCTTTCTGCAAAGTAAGGCAACTCTTTCTCTTGTCTCCCTCCCCTTCCCCCCTCCCGTTTCCCCTCTTTTGTCCTCCTGCCCGTCAAATGCCCCAGCTTCCCCTGCATGGCATACTGCCGGGTGGTGAGGTACACGCCAAAGCCCCCCACCCTCCCCATCCCCTTCTACCCGTGCGTGTAGTGTAGGCTATAATCCGCGTTATAGCGCACGTGACTCACTATATGTTGCTGCCGACGAAGCGCCCCAGCTTCCCCTGCATGGCATACTGCCGAGTGGTGAGGTACACTCCGTAGCGGTCCACTGTGATGCGAGGGGTGGCGCCCCAGTAGACCCTGCCGGGGTATCGCAACGGCGGGGCCGTGTCGTTGTGCGACTTCACCCCATCGTTGCTGTGGGGAGGGCGGGGCGGGCACAGGGACACAGATAGAAGAACTTGAGTGGAGTGGAGTGATGCGAGGGGTGGCGCCCCAGTAGACCCTGCCGGGGTATCTCAGCGGCGGGGCCGTGTCGTTGTGCGACTTCACCCCGTCGTTGCTGTGGGGAGGGCGGAGTGCAGCAGGGGCACAGCAGGGGCGCAGCAGAGATGGAGGTTGAAAGCGGAATAGCAGGGGTGTGGGGTGAGGTAAACGCTAAAGCGGTCCACCGTGATCCCTGGGGTCGCTTTTGAGTCGATTCAAAAGACACCGTGATCCCTGGGGTCGCTCGCTCCCCAGTAGACCCGGCCTGAGTATCTCAAGGGAGGGGCCGTGTCGTTATGGGACTTTACTCCATCGTTGCTGTGGGGAGGGGAGGATAGAGTGGGAACAGGGACGCAGGGACAGAGGGACAAGGGAAAACACAGGGGAGAGAAGAACTGGGGAGAGGGCAAGCATACTCACACTCCTCATTCATACCTGGCGGGAATGAATAAGACGTTCCAGGTGACTTTTGAGTCGACTCAAAAGGAACTGCGGAGAGGGCAAGCATACCCACACTCCTCATTCATACCTGGCGGGACTGAAGAAGACGTTCCAGGCCATCATGGGTGTGAGGGCGGAGGAAGCAGCCACCACAATGGGAGAGATGACTACGTAAACCATACTCATACTCCTCGTTTATACCAGCATAACAGCCGAGGACAGGACCAATGTACCTGGCGGGAATGAAGAAGACGTTCCAGGCCATCATAGGCGTGAGGGCGGAGGAGGCGGCCACCACAATGCCGTACCCTGACGTGCTGCCATCCGCGTTCCTCCTCGTCTGCCCAAACCGGTCCCACTTGTTGCGATAACCACCCGACTGGCAGGGGTGGGAGGCACGGGGGGGAGGGAGGCAAGAGGGGTGGATGGGAAGAGGGGTGGGAGGGAAGAGGGGATGGAGGGGAAAGGGGGAGGGGAGGCAAGAAGGGTGACTGATCTTCAGTTGAGAAGGGAGAAACAGGCACCGGTGGCACACTGAATGAATGGAGGAAGCAGCCACCACTATGCCGTACCCTGACGTGCTCCCATCCGCGTTCCTCCTCGTCTGCCCAAACCGATCCCACTTGTTGCGATACCCACCCGACTGAGAAGGGGCGAGGAGCAAGAGGGGAGGGAGGCAAGTGGAGTGGAAGGGAAGCGGGGAGGGAGGCAAGAGGGGAGGG